ATTTCTTACAAGGAAAAAAAAAAAAAAAAAAGAAAAGAAAAGAAAAAGAGAGGTTAATTAAGGAATACTCGAGTCAAACAGTTCCGAAACGAAGTTTTCATCGCGAAGCGAATAGAAACGGTCGCTGATGGACAAAAGCTGTTTAATATGTGCATTAATTCAACGCGTTTCATCGTCAATAATTTATAAGTCTCGTAGCTATTAATTACGCATCTCGAACGTACGCGCAAGTATGCCGAGAAGCTGTGGCGATTGGTTACGTGCTATTATAAGTAACAAGGGTCTACCGCGCGAATCTTTCCTCTCTTTTCCTTCTATTAGCTATAGGCGATTTTCAAGCATTTTAATTATGCAAATCGTTAAGATCGTTTTGCTTCGACTCCGTTTCTGTTTATTCTATACTTCGCATCGGATTAATATTATTATTTAGAATTGAACTTGTACTTTTTTTTTTTTTTAATTTCTATTCAACGGAATAATATTCCAATATTATCCGGAATCAAAAATCGAATGGAATTGAATAGAAATGAATTTTTTTCGAAATTTCCGATAAATTGAATGTTTTACAAATTTGGAATTCGAAAACTTGCGAATTTAATTTAAGTTTTAATTAAACTTAAAACTTTGAAAATTTACAAAAATTCGAGGATTTGCATAATTCTTCTAAAACTTAGAAATTTTATCAATTTTTATCAAATTCTGCATAAAGCAAATTAAAAAAAAAAAGTCCATAATTTAAAGATAATCGATAATTTTTGATATAATAAAATATCGAAGATTGCATCCCTTTGAGGAAGAAAGGAAGGGGGAAGGGGGATGGGGGAGCGTGAATTTAATCGAAAATATAACGCAACCGATGCTCGTTCGACTTACCTCGTCTCGAATGGCAATGGATTATGCGTCGAAACGTCCTCCACGGGTCGAATCGCGATCGTTTTACGCGTTTCCCGGGTGTCGATCCGTGGAGGCATGTCGGCCAACGACAACGAACAGATAGATATTCTCGTTTCACCCGACAACATCGGTCTGCCTCTTACATTTTATCTCGCAAGATGTGGCAATGCCGTGTTATGCCCCGGCCACGGCTGACGTTATGGAAGGATAATCCCATGCGGTCGACGGTTCGCGTCTCAGATTTCGCGCCGAGACCATAATCTGGTCGAGGGGAGGCGAAGAGGCATGTCGCAACCGGCTCACCCCGTGTAAAACTTGGTTGTGTGCACTTCCACGCAAATTTTTCACCCGTACCTCACCCGTTTCCTTGTTCCAATATTGCAAATAATAAATGTAAACGAAGTAATAAGGGGCGAGAAGTAATAAGGGTTGGATCAAGGAGACGAGGAAACGGGACAAATAAAATCGAATTTTTCGAATTTAAGAAACACTAATTTCAAAAAGTCGTCTCGTGATTAATTTAATTTTCGAAATGACTCGATTGGGATAAAGAATGTAAAAGAGTATATTTAATAAAGGAAATAGGAATAAATTACGTTTATTTAAATGTGAATCGTGCCGATGCCTTCGTTCGACTGTGCCGAGCTCGCGTCGTACGCCGGTTAAATAGGAGAAAAACAAAAGCGAAAACGCGACGAACGCGTGACATTTAATTCGCGCGTAAATACATCGAATATTAATCGCATTTTTATGTATATAAATTACGTATATAATATTACGCGTTCGATCGATATTTTTGAAAGGATTTTTTTACGATGTATAAATATATTGCTCCGTGTAATATATATGCGATAAAAAGAGCGACGTGTTAATTAATTTTTTTTTATTTATTTCAAATAGAAAAATCAATTTTTTTAAATTTAGCGAGACGAAAGAGTAATTTTTTTAAGTAAAAAAAAAAATTTTGAAGCGTAGATACGAAAGGAAAGAGATACAGGTTAATTTGAAAATATTTTAAAATATAACGAATTGAAAGAAAGCATTGTAAGCAGATTAATTTCGATCGAAAAATATTAATTTGATATTTAAAATTTAAGATGTCATTCATGAAGATTCACAGAATGGAATTTTTTTCTCGTATATTTTTTTCACTAATTTTGATCCAATAAAAAAAAAAAAGTAGGATTAGATTTTACGCTATGAAATTCAACCACGCGCATGTGGTTAGTTCAGTGGTCACTAGTGATCAGTTTCTTCAAAATCATTTATAGAGACTGTCTGATCGATATTTCTTCAAGTATTCTTCCGGTTCCAACAACATGAATAGCGTCCATTTCGAACGAATGGTGGATGATATAACCTGTCATTTCGAGCCTTTCTACGATATCCTTTCCAGGCTACACTTTATCCTAATGAAATTGAAAAAATCTCCATATCCTCTTAAACAGATTATTATTCACGAAACAGAATTTGGAGAATAACAAAAAGAAGGAAATTTTTAGCGATATGTAAAACAGTAAAAGAAAGAAAAAAAAGAAAGAAAGAAAATTGAAAGAACTTTTTGATATATACATGTCGATAAATTTCTTTCATCTTGAAATATCGAGATCAGCTCTTCCTTGAATTTCTTGAGAGATGTTCAATTTTGACCGATCAGCTGACAAAGGAGAGCTCCAAACTCACGTGTACAGATGTACAAAAGGATCTTGTCAAAGATCCATTTCTTCTTTCCATCTCCTCTTTTCTCCCCTCCTTTTCTCTCTTTTCAATTTATACCATCCTTCTTCCATCTTTCAACTCGTATCTACTTATTTTTTCTTCTTCTTTTTCCATTAATTAAATTGTTTAAGTTCGTTGCATAAGCGTGCAACCATTTTTAATTAAACTAGCGCAATTAAAAAACGTAGCAATAAGAAATTCTCTATCCGTGAAATCAAAGAAATAATAATAGAAATTGAGCTATCTAATAATCGCAATTAATTGCAAATAATTATCAAAGATTTTTCATCTAAAAATGTTGTAAGAAGAAGCCTTCAACTTTTCGAGAAAAAGAATGGAAGGGAGAGAATCGACACTCGTTCGTCGTCGTTAAATTCTTCTCTATGTTAATAAACACGATAAACATTGATTGATGAAGAAAACGATGAAGCGCGATACGAAATGGGAATATCACGCGGCGATACGCTGTTATTATTATTATATAGCGTGTAATTATTGCGAAATAAGGAAAATAAGCGATGATGGAAAAACGATTTGAATATAATAAGGGGTGGCAAAAGACCCTCGTTTTCCAATCGAGCAAACCTATCGTTAAATTCCAACAAACGCATTCTATCGTTGATTTCCTCCATTTTAATTATCGTCCTCGCGTGATCAAACATTCTGGCTGGCGTCGATTCAAATCTTTGAATCCATCGAAATCGAATCGATACCATCTTAATCTCATTCATTAAACGATCGCCGGATCGTTTGCCAAGCGTTTTGCCTACGTGAAATTAAACGATTTCGATTTAATTTACATTCTTTATAAGCCAGGAATTCTATAAATTTAAATTATACGCGATTATTTATCGATACGTGATGATTTTAAAATTCGTGTCTCCAAAAAAGAAAGAAAGAAAAAGAGGGGCAGTGAGAATCGAAAAATCGAAAAATTCGAATCTGGCGATTTTTTTCAACTATTAATATGATCAATAGATCGTTCTCGACTTTCACTTT